CTCACGAGAGTTTTTTGATGTACAATGTGTCTCGGCAAATGGGTTGCAAAGTTGCTTTCAAAAAATGCAAATCTTCCTAGTGCGCATCATCGTTGTCTAATGTTGTGTACGTATATTTGTTGTGCTTTACTACCACCACTGCTATCTCTCTCTCCTCTATTTATCTGTGCATCTCTGGGAAACGCATGAGAGAGAAAGTTTACTTTTCTTGATGATTTTACTTGAAGCAGGAGCTTAGCATAATCATAATGCACCCACCACACACGAAACATTAAGTATAATGTGTGCTCTCTAATAAGATTACAGCAAAACTACGACATGTGTGTGTGTGTGTGTTTGTTTGTGCGTACAACAACTCCACTTTTCCTGGAGAAAGAGCTCGCCATACAGTACACACAATCTGAAGGAGATCATCATTTTCCTGTCAAGGCGTGCAAACGAGGCAAATGAAAATGTATCACAGCATGAAATGGAAAGGGACAGGACACACACACACACTCGTACGCACGGCATCTCGTCTTTTCTTTCACTCATTACAGTCCCCTGATAGAGACAAAGCGGATGGCCTTTAAGACATGTAATCGAGGAGGAGGTGGGATTTTTAGTCCCTGTTTTCTTCGCTTGAGTGGTTAGTTAGTTACTTAGTTAGACAGCCACCACTCACTCGGATATCATCCCACCTCCTCCTCCAGCACAAAGTCAAGAAGGAAAAAGGAGACTGACGGACTGAGTGAAACATTGTGCCTTAATAAAGAGGAAGGTGATGCAGGCGACCTCGTTGGCTCGGCTTGCCATCTCCTCGCGCTGAGGGAAATATCAACGCACACCACCAAGTTTCAAACTTTGCTGAGTCCAGACTACGCGTACGAGTCCTCAACACGGAGTAGCCAGCCAGCCAGCCAGCCAACCAGTCACTCATTGTTAGCAGAGGTAATAAGACTTAAGTTTTCTCTCGGGATGGAGAGATGATGATGGCGAGAAGGAGGAGAAAGCAACACTCGCACTTCTATAATTCATGGAACTTGCACCTGTACAAACTCACGTCTTTACTTTGGTTCCCTTCTTCCTGCTGCCCAACGATAAGTCAAGTTGACGGACTGGAAGGACCTTCTTTTGACGAGATGCAAACTTACTTGGGGCATGAAATCCAGAGGGAACATCCATCCCCAAATTGGTAATGTCAACCACAGTCGTCACCAACGGAAGAAACAGCTTGTCTTCGTCTCAGCCTTCTGTAGGATTTGTTTTGCAAAATTAGCGAAACTTTAATTCCACCTGTATGGTCAGTAAGCAGTGGGTGGCATTTGTTCTCAATAATAAAACTTGTGTGGACCTACGTACCTTATCATCATATCGCTATTCTCCTTGCAGACCATAGACTCGAGAGATAATTGAATGGAGAGATATGCAACACAAACTTTGAAAGATTTTCAACTTCACTGCTGCTGCTACTACTACTTTGCTCCTGGGTTGCATATAATAGTTTGACTGACGGTGGTGGTGGCGGTGGGTTGTTGAGGAGAAAGTTGAGTTTGCCGAGAAGGAGAAAGTTGAATAGGACGACGGAGGGAGTGTGATAGCTGAGACCAGTGGACGGGTAGATGTGACAAGAAAATGACAAAGTGACGTGCTGAACTGTATAATTTCTTTGTTTTCTTTGATACTGGGCAAGTCATCAATCAAAGAGTTTCGAAGGATGACTACCACTAATGCTGCTGATATGCAACGTATACGTAATACCTTCATTGGATTAGTTAGTTCGTCGGCTGGAAAAGTAAAAGCTTTATTTTCGGGAATAAGTGCGGCGTGAAAAATAACTGCCATAGCCCCACTTGCACCAATGCTGGTATTAAAACTACTTTGCATGCAGGGTGGAGGGTGTGATGATTAATATCAGGCTGTTCAATAAGTATTATTATTTTTAGATTTGCAAATATCCCATAAAATGCGAAACACTTTCTTCGAGACAACAATATCTTGTCAGACAGTATTTTATTGTTGAATGAATAATACTTTAATTTTTTCGAGAAAAAAAGTATTTTGGACTAAATTGGATTCAGATCCAGGAGAGCAATCTCTTTTCTTGAAATCGACGTCATTATTTTGCATTGAATTTTGAGTGTGAATTCTTCTTTAGAACGTCCTCGTATAACTTTCTCCTTTCCACAAGAGGTACTTGCACGAAATGAAAGAATTTGTAGGGAATTGTCATTTGTGCGAGGACTAAATTTAGCTCTGCAGACAAGAAAAGTTTGTATGTATCAATACCCTGGAAAAAAGATGCATTGTTTCGTGTAAGCTGAGACACTCGCGTCCTGTTTCTAACAGGGCCTGCATTGTTTATCCTTTTCAGCGTATTATTTTCTTCCTCTGCCTCTCTTAAATTACTGTTATGCAGCATTTTGGCAATGCCAGTCAGTCATGCTTTGCATCAAAATTATCCAATGGCGTACACTTAATGTGCCATTATTATACATATCAGCCATCTAAAAGGATTGGCCCAGCTTTCTTGTTCTGAGAGCCTGCCTGCGTGTGCTCATTTTGCTGCTGTTGCTGTCCAGGAGGAGACATTGTGCCCGTTTCCATCCGACAAATGACAATGAAGCAGAAGGACAAGAAGGAGTGATTCTCTCTCCGTCGTTATCTTATCGTACAAACTGCTCTGCATTTATTGTGCACAGTATTTATTGATTATCTAAAAATCTGTAGTGTCGTCGTGAAGGCTTTTTAAAGCTGAGTTGGATACAATGTCATCGTACAATGAAAAAAATGAAAGCTCGGAGGAGCCAAGCCAGCCAGAGCTCCACATTCATTCATTCCATTGTACGGGCCCATTGGCCATTGTGCGATTAGGATTAGGCGAGAGAAATACATGGGGATTGCTCCAAGTTGTTAGTTGACAAAATCTCACTCAAGTGGTGAGACATGCAGGATAACGACAGGGTGAAAAACAGGCAAGAAAATGAGCCACGTCACAAACCAGGCAGCAGAAGAAGAACACAATAATGTGCTCCTAAACAACACGCCTTGCGAGGAACGTCATGTGAAGGAACGCTCTCTCTTCCTACTCCTCCTCCTCCTCTGCAATGCATGTTATAGGCTAAAGAGGAAAAGCAATCTAATCGATTTCCTCTAAATGTTATGAATTTGTTCTGCATCGTTTCCTTCAGGAGGGAGAAAGCGACGACCAAATACAAGGGACACGACTCTCTAATGTTTCAGCAGTTAAGTCGAATTACTCTGCCCGTTAGTTTGTTCCACTGGTGGCCGTACATATGCAGTTCGCAAAATCAAGAATTCCCGATGCCCAATACACCCTCATTTCCCTAAGAGTCTTTATTTGTATCTGCGAAAAACGCAATTACAATTTTTATTACTTGTAAGTTTAGCACCACTTGATGCATAATAATTTACATATGTATTATGCATTTGACTTTTAATAATAATCTCATCAACCAAAGTACACTTTTAAGCAAAAAAAGAGAAGAAACTCATTTAAATTGCTTTGTCTTTTCTCTCATTTTGCTCAAAGTTATCCCAGAGATTGAATTGCCACTACTTTTGTAATGCAATATTCCGCGAATGGGATGTAAAGCGGCGTGGGATCGATTTAACTGATTCAAAGTCCCAGGGATGTCATTCTAGCTGTTATAGACAGGCGGTCTGCCTGGCTGGCTGGCTGGCTGGCTGGCAGTTGATAGCATGATACCTTCCACTTTCTCCTAGTTTCTCCCGCTAAGCAGAAGCAGCAGCCGCCGCCGCGATTGGAAGCAAACAGGGAATGTCATTAAGCTCTCTTTACTTTGTTAACTTGAACAATAAATTCAGTGAGAGTGCGACAAGAAAAACTGTTGTCTGCTCCTCTTTTCCAGGCCGAAGGCAAATAAAGGGACCAACTCGAACACGTAAAACAGAGGTCGTCGTAGCAGAGAGGCGATCAGACGAGCTTGACCATTGCCCACCACACACTGCGCCTCTTCCTGCTTAGTCTTAATCTTCCGCTCTACTTCACTTGCTCTTTGGCATATTGAGCCAGCTTCTTTCCCACCAGTGATCTCTCCGCCTCCTCCTCCTCCGACTCCTACTTGCAGCAGATAAGCTGAGTTAAGACTCAATTCTAATGTGTCCAGAGAGCCAAGGAAAATAATGCGAGACTTCGATGATAGAAATAACAACGCGAGTAGTTCTCTCGTGTCCATTGTCTCAGCTGAGTCACATGTTGTACATACTTTTTTAATAGACACATAAACTAGTGGAAAATTTACTACTTTTCAGTTACCATCATCATCATCATCATGGAGGAAAACATTTTAATGAAATTATCACTGTGAAATAGAGCGATGGTTGTGCGTTTCATGACGAATTCTGTTGTTAAAAAGACAAGCTTGCGCACACAGTAATTAAGATTTCTATTCTGAACTATACAACTTCTTCTTCATCATCTCTGTTTGCATTGGGATCTGCTGCTGCTTAATTTAAAGTCTTATCTATGTACATAAAGTTTCTCAGTTTAAGGAGAAGGAGGAGAAGTATGTTGTGGTTGTTGAAACCCCTACTTTCTCCGCTCTCCGTTTGCAAGATCAGAGTGGGATTGAGACACTGAACGGAACTGATACTTGAGAGAGAGCGAGCAAAATGTCTCCTTCTTCCCCTTCCTGCTCGTCTCGTGTGTTCACTCTGATCGGTTTATTGAGTAAATCCAAAGAGAATCCTCTGAATTGGCTGAATGCAGATTATAGACAATGGACATTCCTCTTAATTTATGACTCTGGTTCCTCTCCCATTTTGCAAGAAGCAAAGCGAGGAGATGGTGTTGTTTGGTTATATTCTCTTGCCAACAAAGCTTTAATGACATGGCGTGTTTTCTGATTTTTTTCATCTATTCTCCGAGTTCTCTTCAATTTATATTGCTTGTTTAATTCAATGTCTTTGAGATTTGTGTAATTTATGTGGGTGTCGGATTTTTAATTATATTTACACCTTTGTTTTGTGAATTTCAGACGTGCAATCGATCCAGACGGACACGGTGGTGACGGAGGCGGGTTCGAACTTGACATTGGCATGTCCAGGTGCGACGGAGCACTCGTTGGTGAGCGTTCTCGAGTGGTATTGTCACGGCTGTTCATCTGCTGGTGTGCTGCAACAACCGTCCTCTTCTCATCCAGGGGTAAGCACATATAAAAAATGCGTCCTTCCCGTTTTCGACCATTGATTTACTATTGGTCATTTATGTTGACCATCGCGTCTCTCCAACCCCCAGTCACCAAAAGTGCTGATAAATTCAATAAATCCTAACGATAAACGATCGTTTTTCCAATCTCCACATCTCAAACAATTGCATTCTCCCAATCCTTACTGACTCTACTTGGAAAATTATCAACATTATTATATTACTCGAGGGAAGAAAGCCAGTGACCACAGAACAGCAAGCGAGCAAGTCTGAAGAAACCTGACAGGATTAGCTTCAGCAGCAGCAGCAGCAGCTTAGAGAACTGGAGGAGGATGGCTTTTGGAGTTTTGTGCCATATTCCCCTGTTTGGCGTCGTCATCCTCCACAATGTACGGAAATGTGCTGATCTCGCACTTTCTTAAACAGTAGGGTTTGAGGAAGAGAGTAAGCTATAGAGTGTGTTATGGCGATGCTTCTTCTTCCTCTTCTTGTGTTACCAACGACACATTCTGGCTCAGGCTCATGTTAAATCTTTTAATGGTATAAATGGATCCAAAATCTCTGACCCGGGACGAGGCCCTCTGAATGGTCGCATTCTGGCCATCTTAATATTACTACTTTGTAGAAGAATGCAGACACAGGAGGCAGCAACACACACCTCCACCATGCTACAGGGACTTTGCTAAAGGCGCTTTTCCCTCGTGGAATTGTTCCCCTCCAGCACTTCCTACTACACTTTGGCTTTCATGCAGTTTCGAGAGATAATCGATGTATTTCCTGAGGTTTCTCCAGAGGATATGCTGTAGGGTTTAGGGAAGCTTTTAAGGACTTGGCTAGATCCACCAGGTACAAATTTTTATGCTCCGGGAAGACTCGTACATAAACGCATATTCTTTTACGGGAAAATAAATAAAAAATAAAATAATAATGCACGTTGACATTTCAAATACTTTTCTCCAGTGAAAGCACTCTTCTGAATGTCTTAAGGTTTGTTCTTTGGGGGCCTTTGGCTAGTTTTTTTTGTAAATAGCAAACCTTGGACTGTATTGGACCGAATTTGGTTAAAATTCTGTACCGTTTTTTACGTTAGTTCCATGATTGCAACGTGATTCAAGGGTAGGAAGGAAGGAACACACGTATTAATAGTTAGTGTGAAAAGCAAGGCCCGAGAACGGGACCGAGTTCGCACATGGACACACAAAGTTTGGCTTTCTCCCTCCTTCGCAATTTGTTTTTTGCCGAGATGTGGATCTCTTTTTACTAACTAACTTGCTGAATTTCTTTGCATAGTCGGTTAAGCTTTGTTGCGTGGTTTTATCGTGTGAGAGAGGAGTGTCGTGGATGGGATTGGTTGGGTTAGCCGGTGAACAAAGGGAAAGTTGAGGAGGAAGAGAAAGAGAAGTAATCGTCTAATAGAATGGAATGGGAAGGGAAGTCAAAAGTGGCTTTCCTGCACTTTCACTTTCTTTCTCCTGTACTTTACGGTATTGCATCACATTACATTTGGCTAAATGCGAAGTCAAGTGAAAAGCGTGGATGGGGAATGCGAATGTTGGGCTATCGATTGGATCCACAGACGACTATGCCTCTCATCTCCATCCTTCCTCTCGCCTTTCTCTCGCCTCCTAGTTCGGTCGGTCCATTGTCAGGGTAACTGCACTGGACCAAATTTACTCAATTCTAAAAACCAGTTAAAATCACTAAAAAGAAGAAAAAGTACGAGTTCCAGTCCTTGGCTTAAAAAGAAGAAATGTTTGAGTCAGTCAGGAGCTGGAGTGGTTGGAGTTTTCTTAAAGATTAGTTTTAGCCGATTGACTATTGCATACCGTCGTCGTTCTCGTCGCCACAACTTATCAAGTGTTATCCGCACGTCTGCAAATGACTTCTTTGTCGTCGTCGTCGTCGTACAAAATTCTGGAATTCGCACTTAGTCCAAAAGATGTGCAATAACTACTCAGGCAAATTAGTTTTTAGAGCGGGAGAATGATTAGAAATCATTCACCTACTACTTACAAACATCCAACCACAGAGTCTGGTTGGGAATAGAGTTGTACCACTAAGCTTTTATGGGGTGGAGTTGACTGCATGTGCCGGAAAATAATTAATAAGTCAACGGCAGTCCTCTGTTCTAAGGCCTGCTGGTGTTTGTTAGAGCACCATGAAATGAATCAAATGGCTTTTCTTAACACTAAAGTCAACAGCTAATAATCGTTATATCATAACCATAACCTTAAAGCCTTCCACACCACTGACGACGACGACGGCGACTACGGCTGCTGCTACTCCTTTCTTCCTTCCCACACCCGCACTTTGAAGAAAGTGAGAGCAGGCCAGGCAAACTGTCCCCAATTTATTTTGCCTAAGCTCAAGTACATGATTGCAAAACTAGAGTTTAGCGTGTGCCTAATAAAAATACAAATAATGTTGTCCAGTCATGTGATTTTCAACAAATTCCGGCTTAACTTCATTTGTTGTTTGGTGCATGACAATTATCAAAACGAGAGGCTCATAAATCCACCACATGATTTGATTGTGGGTGAGCATATAGGTCCATGAAACCACTGTAATTGGTCGTATTATTTCAAAACGCAACGACCCAGTGGGCACGAACCCGGCAGTACGAATGGATTAGAATTGAACAACCTACTATTTTCTATTTAACACACATCATGCAAAAATTATGATTCCTTTGCAACCAGCTAAATGCCGCAATAATCTTGCCATTGTATTACTTCCAGGGTGAAAAATATACTCGCTTGACGGAGGGCAGTGTTACTTTGTGGTGATAATTAGTCAGATTATCCAACTCATAAGTATGCAAACTGTACTTGCACTTATAGCCAAACCAAGTAGTATGTAGTGCATACGTGTATATAGTCACCAGTCAGTCATCCGCGTCTGATTATTGCATGAGAAAAGTTCACAAAATTCGAAAATGTAAAGTATATATTCCTTCATTTCTAATCGTATGTTTTCACAAATAATACAACCATTTCTACCAACATTCTTGGATGCGGTACTATTTAATTTGATCCTGTTTGCCCTATTGTGTATATGTGCACACTTGTACAACGTGTATATATGTACATATGTACCCGGTAACACTGTTGACCAACCGATCTCGTAATAAATATATAAAATCTTCGTCTTGGTTCCGAATAAAAAGGGTCACTTTCTTTATTTCCAACCCCATTTCACCCGCTGCTCACTAATGAACATGCAATTTAACAATTTAGGATGTCAAGTTGGTGGAGCTGCGACGGGACAGCACGACAGTTTGGCAAAATCGGGAAAGGGTGACTCTCAACTCGGAGACGTATGCCCTTAATTTCCACCCCGTTGTAGCAGGTGATACTGGAGAATACAAATGTCTCGTGAATGACAGACGACTTCCAGAATCTATCCTCAAACTCGTTGTTCAAGGTAAGCCTCACTTTTTTATCGTCTCTTCACTATTGCAAATGCAAAGCATGTCTGGCACATCCGTGAGAAAACAGTCGTAGATTCACTCAGTCCTCCTGCTGCACGTTGGGGTTAACCCATCGTAGTCATTAATTAAGATACAAATGACGAGATAGTAAAGTCTCCTCCATTCCATCTGCTAGCCGAGGCTGACTGAGACGACTCGAAATGAGTATGGTACACACAGCATTGGATGTGTCCATTGAGATTTTTTGAGCTATCCCTGTCCAAAAAGTTTTGAATTATTTCCCTGTCCACCATATGCTCTCTCTGGTAGCGGATGACCTTCTTTTCCTCCTTTTGATGGAAGGGAGGAGGGATGAGGTTTGATTCAGAATTGACAAAAGGAAGGGAGATGTGATTGATAAAAAGAAGAAGAGAAGCAAACCAGCCAACGACCGGCCGACCGACCAAGCAACCCACGGAATGCATCTCATCTGTCTTTACTTTGAAGAAGAAGGTGACTTGACATCGATCTCTGACTCTCTGGCTTGATGCGATGCCAGGAGACGAGAGAGAAAGACCAGCAGCTCTCCTTTGAGCCAAGGAGTTAGCGAGTATGTAGAAGAAGGGTAGAAGAACGGAAGGAAAGAGCGACAGATCTAGACAACCAAACTCAACATGTGGCTCGGATTTTTACTGACTTTGCTCGTCCGGTGGTTCTTTTTTTTGTCCGATTTGGCCGGTCTTTATTCGTCTCGCCCTGTTGAATTTAAGATTTAGGATGTAGGATATACTGAAACTGGTCGCTCATGATCCACTTTTTCGTTAACAACTTGTTCTATTTTTAACAAAACCATCACGATGTATGTCTCAAAGTTAGTTGGTTGTGTCACCCATCTTTTGGTTTAGTGCTGGTCACATTAATCTCGACTCGACGGTTCCTGGTGAGGAAACTCAGTCTTCAAATGGAAGAAGTATGTATTAATCCAACCACGTCAAACTTAATTAATAGCGACAACTTCTAGATTATAAATCTTAGGATAAATACATATCTTTTCCAGTGCACATTCCATTTGAATGTCGAAATTCGTTCTGCCTCTAATTGAACAGGAGAGATGGTAAATAACAACAAATTTTGATGGGTTGAAATGATTTCTAGAATTTGATGTACGCTGATCTATCCTTGTGTAATGTCATAATAATTAAACTGCGTGGGTAGACGCGGATAATGGGAAATTGGTGTAAACTTTAACATATCACTTATTCATTTGAAATGGGGTTGAATTGTGGAGAGATCGAAAGGTGACAGCGCCAGGCACTAACCCTGACTGGCACTGCATTGCTACTCCATATTAACAATGATCATCACTTAATAACAACAACAACACTGCCGCAAAAGGAATGAATCTCCACATTAGACACGACTTGAAATGAATAAATGCCATTTCTGAGGGCTGAATGGTTATGATTTATGCATGAAAATCACTCTATTTACAATATTGTAATGCATTGTGTTCACCTTCTTCTCCCGAGTTGACAAGTATCATTGACACAAACATTATTTGATTACGGGTGAATGAAACGTCATTGTGTGCAGCTTATTGTTAAGAGTTGGAGGGAGCGAAAGGATTATGATGATGTTGTGGGTATGATAAACCAATTCACTCACAACAACCACCGTGCACTACTCGACTCATTCCTTTGTGTCGTTGGAACGCTATGGAGTGAAAATTCTATACCTTACGCAATTTGGGTAAAACTTTTAAAAATCAATTGATGTATCAGTGCCGAGTCAGAAACTTTCTCTCTCCAGTCACACTGCTCACCTGCACTTTGAAAGAAATGCGATCCGATCAATGCATTGTGATCTAGAGTGAGTGCTCTTATGTACATTCAATTCGTGTCAATTTGCATTTTCGTCCACGCACACTTTTTCCTCCATTTCTCTTCTCCACGTTACGTCTACTCTGGGTGAACGACAACGGGAATGATTATCTGCCTTCGCCTCAATTCAGTCAAGTGTAAAGTTTATGGAAGATTTATAAAACTAGAAATTGACTGCGACTGGATTTTTTGAAGTCAAACTTCTCCTGCCTGCCACCCACACATGCGGGCCTTATTTTTTACTCGGGCACGAGCAGTATTTTACAATGGATTCAAGTTCAGAGATTGGATTAAGTATGAGGAACCTTGGCTGGTGGTGCAAGTCTTGGCATCTGCATCTCTGTAGGACGAGGAGGAGGTGTGTAGGAGGGAGAGGAGGCGATGGGTCTCCCGGCCCTAGACTCCAACTTTATTACTACTAAATCTATTTAAGAGGTTCCTACACCTGGAGAAAGTAGAGCTGCCTCCTCTGCGGTGGTTTTAAATTTAGTCATTCGGTTCACTTTTATGTTACCTGTGTGGTGTGGGAGAGGAAGTAAATAGGAGTGGTTGCATGCATGTACAGACGTAGGGAGGAGAGAGCCACATGAACAAACATGATAAAATTCCTTCGAGGTTTGTTGCGGGTGATCAAGTCTGACAGGAAAGGATCGTTACTCCACCAAAGCATTTTAGTTTTTGTAGCATACATAAAGTCGTGTTAGCATTTGATGTAGGTTGTCTTCTGACTAAATAATAAATTCCTTCATGGCCCAACATTGCTTTTAATTTCAAAGTTGGGTTTGATAAAAAATGATGAGATTTTGATACTCGGCTGATTGATCAAACCTCAAGCTAACTTTCTAAAAGTTTTCATGGAGGGATTTCTGCGAAGAGGAGGTGATGAGCAGGAAACTCTGGGATGAATCGCCCACGTCGAACATTGTGGTTTTGTGTTGCGGGTGTTTTTAAGAAGTCCATGTAGATACAACGTACTACTACTTTCTCCAGCTTTGAACTTGTCGAGGACTGCATGCTAATGTTAACTGAGGTCGGTCGTCCTCATAAAGCATTGAGTGGAAAGCTGAGGGTTTAGCTCGATTACTTCTTCCTCTGCCGGACATTTGGTTATGGTGGTGGGTCCAAACAAGGCTGGTGGGAAACGTGCTTTGGGAAGGCTGAACTCGCCTTAAGCTCTAACTCAACTGTCCTGCTCAATTTATCGTCTACTTTATGGCTTCTGCATCTACTGGTCCACATGATATTAAACCCTTCTACTTCTCCATTGGCAATAATGCAGTTTAGAAAACGTATAAAGTTTATACTGGCACTCAGTTTCAGTACTTACACTGACAATTTCACGGCTTGTTGTTGGTTGTTATTTTCCTTCTGTTTCTCTTCCAGTTAAGTTAACGACATTACTACATGACACTCTCTTTCCCCATGCTCTCCACCACCGCCGCCGATACCACCGCATTTCTTCTCCTTCCATGGATAGCAAAGGGTTTCCGCTTCTACATTCCTCGTATTTCAGATGAGATGAGATTGTTCAAGGAGTCAGCCCATCCCGTGCCAAACCAATGCATGGAACACAGTTCACTGATCTAATGGCCTGGCCTATCGTATTTCATGAACGCGGAGCTATTATCCCAGAACGTGGTTGTTGTGGTGTTGCGATGCGGCCAAGTGATAGTGACGTGCTTGTTCAATTTTTTAAATTCTGCCAATTTACCTTCACATTTGTCAATCAATATGATTTTACACAGCCACAATAAGTTCAGTTTCTAAGGTTCTTGTAATAAAAAACTAATAAAATAATGTAAAATTTCATAGGGAATTAAATTCTTTGCAAGATCATAAAATTCAGTGTGAGATAAAGCTGCAGCAGACCGTATAATGCCGTCTACTTCACCTCAGCATTGTCTAATTTGTGGTGAGAGAAGTAAACCTGAGTCAACCCCAGCGAAGTACGTACATACGTATCCCCTTTATTTCTTGCAACTCAAAATTTTGAGGTAACATAAAGTTTTGCGTTCTCGACCAAATAATAAACTGGTAGCTCCTTATCGTAAGACAACACACGTAAATAAACAGGTGCATGCATGAAGCAGTGGTCTTACTTGAAGGCGAAAGACTGAAAAGGTTTTTTTGGGCTGGAATAATGGGGATCTCTCTGGAGAGACTGCTGCTTTTATTTCCCCTTCTTCGCAGATTCAGATTTACTTTTACGAACGTGTTCTTAGTGGCGATGCGTTAACTGGAGAATTTCTTAACTGAGTAGTATTTGTGGAATCAGCTCAGCAACAGCAGCAGCTTCTTCTTCAACACTGTCTTCCTTCACCGGCTTCCTTTCCACCACCACCACAAAATTCCCTGTGCATGAATAAACCCGAATAAAATGAACTTTATTGCTGCCACAACTTTTGCAAAAAAACGACCAACGGTTTTCTGCTTAAAATAAATCCTTCCTTATATACCCCAACTTGAGGAGAAGAAGAGAAAGTTCACCAGCAACAATCTGGGAGAGCGACACCCCACAAGTGGTGTCCAAATGTCATAACAATCCTGGACGCTTTCTCCCAATGCAACTGTACACTCGTTGTCACCCTACTCATAAAATAAACAGGTGAGACGATACATGATCAGAATTGCTCGTATCACGTGTGCCATAGCCGAGGGAGGGAGAGAGAGAGTGAGATTGCAATAAAACCTGGAGGATGTGTCGACGGTTTAGGTTTAGAATTCTTTGGAGGCCGGAATTTAGTCGGGGATTGAGAAGCAAATAGAGAGCTTAAGGTGGAGAACAGGTGACTGGATTCCCAAGGAAAGTCGTTCCCTTCACCCTTTCGCTGTCTCTACCCTCTCAATCCTCCATCGGTCGGGTCGCCTTGTCCTTTTTGCCAATCTCCGTGTGAGCACTCCATCTTTGCTGCGGGTGACGATGGCACCGGATTCGTCTTATTGCCTGCTGCTCCTCCTGCTACTTTCCTTTATCCCAGTTTTATAAAGTTTATTGCGATGAACCGTCTCCGTCTTGGTTATTATAAACGAGGGTGAAAGTGCAGCTTAAAATTTTTCCTTTTTTTCTATTTTTCACAGTCTTGCATGATGTAATGTTACGTGTAAGCTAATGCATTATCTAGTAGTCTTAAGGA